GTAAATATAAATCGTTTAAAAGTTCAATGTCTGTCATTTTATTTCATAATTGTTTTTGGAGCTTAAGAGGGTACTGGATACCGATTATAGAGACCTGTAAACCGACGTTTCTCCTAAGTCCTTTGGGAGTCGTATTTACTGCATCAAATCTAAAATGCTTCTACAGAAATAAATGAATAGTGCTAAAGGCGCTTGTTCTTTGGAATGATAAAATTTTCAGCATAAATTTTTTCTTATACAGCCATACACTTCCTTCTCCAAGAACCTGCTAACAACATCCGCAGACTAGTGGCTAACATACTGAATAAATCAAAATTGCCAACTCACAATCTTACTAGATCTGAACGCTGTGCTTTGAAACAATTAAATCAAGACACAGATATTATCATCCTTCCAGCAGATAAAGGCAATACAACAGTGATCATGAATAAAACAGATTATGACAATAAAATTCAGACATCACTTACAGACTCCACATATGAAAAACTTAAGAAAGACCCTACTGCTTTACTAAAAACTCTCACCACCAATCTCATTAAGAAAAACAATCTCCCAGACATGTTAATACCTAAAAACGCGGTACCACCTAGACTATATGGATTACCCAAAATCCATAAAAACAACATACCCCTCAGACCCATAGTAAGCGCTATAAACTCACCTACATACAATCTAGCTCGCTTCCTGGTCAGAAAACTAGAACCCCTCACGGGTAAAACTGACACTACGATAAAAAAAACTCATTTGACTTTATTTCTAAAATCAAAAACATCAAACTTCAACCTAATAACATCTTAGTCAGTTTTGATATTGTGTCCCTGTTCACACAGGTACCAATCCATGACACCATTAACATAATTAAATCTTCAGGTCAACTATCATCCGNCCTTATATCATTGGTAGAACATTGCCTGACCACAACCTATTTTACCTACAACAACCAATTCTATAAACAAATCACAGGTGCAGCTATGGGATCACAGATATCTCCAATCATAGCAAACATATTTATGGAACACTTTGAATCCCAGGCCATCAAAAAAGTCCCACTAAAGCCGCAAACATGGCACTGATACGTAAATGACACCTTTGTCATTTGGCAACATGGGGAGAGAGCTCTATAACTTTATCAGGCGAGTCGCTTCCGAATTTGTAAACTGCGCAAGCGAAACGTCGCCGAGGGAAAAGATCAGGCCGATCGCGTGTCCGTTGGGGATGTTGGAACGCACGTGGCTCAATCGAACTCGTCACCGTCAAATTAAGACGCGGGGAAATTAGAGACATGAAAGAATTCCTGGAAGAGAGAGGTTCGCGTTTTACCGACTGTCCCTTCTACGGGCCCCGCGGCTGGGCGAATTGCTTATCATCTCTTTTGAAGGTAGTTTTAGTTAGATTTGGTTCCAGTTAATTTGACTAATTCTGCTTCTCTGCCTTGTGTAACGTTTTCTAGGTTCTCATTTGTTTTGATTCTTGCTTCAAGGTTTTTGTTTTTTTTAGGTTTTCTATTGGTACTTTCTATTGGTTCTTCAAAAAGAAAATCTTTATGGTTCTAAGGTGGTGTAGAAATCTGTTTGCGTTGCCGTGAGTTTGCAGAAGTGGTAAAGCACAGTTGCTGCGGGGTTTTGGAGAGGGAGCTATTCGCGTGTTAATGACGAATGAATTAATTTGGAAGATGGAATTCTCTCTACGCTCTCTCGGTTCAATCTGTGTTATGTAAATTAAATTTTTAAGCTCTGTTTTGTTGCTGTTGTGTTTTTTTTGTTGCTTCTTATTTCTAGTTTTGCGTTGTCGAGAACGTCGGGACGTGGCGACGTGTATTGTATTAGGGAAGACTGCCTCGCTCACGGTTTTTGATCGTGGTTTTTCCGTGGGATTTAAGGCAAATGCCGAGGCGGGACTTGTGGTGTCCTTAAGGTTGGGTCCACGGGAACTTTCTCCCCTCTCTGTCCAAAGACCGGATAGTTTTAAGAAATTATCGGAGCCCCGAAAGAATTTCTCGAGAAGAGATTTCTTTAGACGGTCGGCTTTAGATCCTGTGGCAGCAGTCCAGGAGTGAGCGGGAAGACCGGGATCTCCTTTAACCGTCGGGACGACGATCTGGAAGAGGAGGGAGGTGTCACGCGGCGGACACCGCGTATATGACACAGGAGCCGCGTGAACGGCGTGCGCTCAACGCAACTGTCCGTTGGGCGACCGGAGTTGTTAAAAAGAAGAATCGCTACCGTGAAGCTGTCACGACGCGTTTGAACGTTTGGTTCTGTATTTTGTAATTACCGCTGTATTTCGAGTTGTAATAAAGTGCTTTTACGAGAAACCGCGTTCTTTCTTGGCCGCGAGTGTGACCGGCGACAGAACTGAACCGCCACCGCGAGCGCACAATAAAATATATATATATATTAGGAGTATAAATAAGTTTCCGCCGTTTGACAAAAGATGATCTCAATAGTATGTTATTGTTAAAATTGTCAGCTGTAAAACGTCATATCGTAGGATTGGACATCTGCTAACAACATAACCTTGAAATATTAGCGATTTTGTATCAGCATCATATATCTTTTTTTGTGCGAAAATGTCGAGTTTTGAGCCGAATAAACGTC